GTAGCCGCACATGAGATTTCCCAGCACCGCTTGTAGTACGCTGGTTGTCCTGTGCGGACTTAAATATTTTCCAAAGGTTCATCGAGAACGAATGTGCGCTGCGTTTCTCGGACCGTCACTGTCGATCCCAGGGCGAGCAGCTGCATGAAGAAAATAAACCGATTTCACATGATGCCGACGCAAGGCCAGCTGACATGCCCAGTGAAGAAGCTCGATGAATGCTATGTATTTGTATCTCCTTCCACTGACGTCGATGTAGCCACACGTGACGTTTCCAAACACTGCTTGTAGTACACTGGCTGTCCTGCACAGACTTCAAAATTTTGCAGGGGTTTATCGAGGACGAAAGTGCGATGCGTTTCTTGGACCGTCATTGTCAATCCCAGGACGAGCAGCTGCATGAAGAAATTAAACAGACATGGTATGTGTCCGACGCGAGGCCAGCCGACAATTATCACCTTTGTGGTTCCCGGGGCTTTGATGTCCACTGTAAATTGCACTTTTGTCAATATAATATTTGGCGCCATACGCACAATGAATGGGTAGTGATATCTGGAGGTAACTTGAATTTTTTACTTCAACTTACCAGCTTTTCGGCAAAAAATAAACGCTCAAAATGTATGTCAGCATGTTAAGATTAGTCTGTGGCCAGTAGACGGAACGAAAAGAGTAAATAACAAAGCGATGTCACACAGATAAAGACACGACAGACTTAGTAAAAAAAATAAAAACAACGTCCTCAATGAATGCTGTAGCATCCACTGGTTACAGTGCCCTCAGAAATCAATTTTGATTTTTGTGGGCAGTGTAACTTCTGCTAACATCGTCAGAGCACTTATAATTAAAATGTAAAAAGTGCAGTGCCTATTTTGCATATTGGATATCTGACATAAGAGAAGACGTCCGACTTGGAAACCTGGTGCTGTGAAAACATAATAATATAATTTGCCACCCACCAGTGCAACCATAGGCTGCTAATTTCATAAATACAATGACAGCCAGCATTTCTCTGCTATGCTTGCTGTGCATACAGGAGTGAACAGCAACACGATACCTTTAGAGTTTCAAAAACTTCTATATATACGAGATGCTGTGCAAGAATAAACGTTACCTCCAATCCTTACTAGCAAAGTTCACCGGCAGCATCGAATATCGCGTTGCATTTGCTATGTGAATGTTTAGTTGCTGAGAAAGGAGTGTCAGATTTGCCCTTTTAGAACTGACAGTGAGGGGTTCTGTGTAGTATCTGTGATAGGCACTGTTGTACAATGGACCTCGCTGATTGTCGAGAGAAAAGGTACAAGGGAATACAAACTGGGTTACAGCGCAAGTGTGTCAGTAAGGTTTGTAAAATCCAAGAACTGCCATTGCGCAATTGCTTTAGATTTTAGATTCACCTTCCGGGCATCCACATAGCAGAGAAGGGTTCGCATGGGTTCATTGGTTTCCCGTTTTATATCGGGTATTCAATGAACTTAAAAGTTTAATATATACGGTGTGGTCTTCAATTTGCTTAAAACTTCTGAAAGTTTAGAAGAGGCCCCGGGATATAAATTAGTGTAATAACTTTATGTGGTGTTAGTAATTAGTACTAGTCATCAATAAAAATTAAGTTGTACAACGAAGCTCCATGCGGCTAGACCTAAGCTGAGAAAAGCTTTCTAACACTTTTTTTCGACAGAGTACAAATGACGTGCATTGATTTAAAGGCAAATATTTCAGTGCAGTAGATCTCCACTGCACTTATTTTCCCAGAAATAACGCGAAAATGAGCAACAAGAAGACGGGAGGTAGAAACCAGCTTCCCAATCACACTAAATTTTATAGAGAAAAAAATTCTTTATACAGTCAGACTTACAGTCACAGGATAGACAAATACCAGCCCATGTAACATAACGTGACATGTAAAACAAAACCCAGTAGCGGGAATTAACAAGAAAAAACAAAGTGATGGCTGACCCCGGAAGGGGGAGCCTTCATTCGCAGCGGTATTAAATACATTTTCATTTAGAGGAATGGGAGCATTTCTTAAGTCACAAAATCCTTCCCATATTATCTGCGCCATGTCTACAATAATGCAGGGGCAGCCATTTTTCTTCTCGTAAAATACAGTGTCACGCTGGAATTCCGGAATGGTAGCATTCATGCCATTGTATTTTGCGAACATCAAGTCTGAATTATCAGGGACATTTCGAAGTCAGACAACAAGAATATCCCACCTGTCTAACCGGTATAGTATTCATAACAAGCATGAAGAAACGTGCGGTGTTCGACTCTGCCTGCGGTTGCCCTCTCTTGTTCCCTATACGAAGGGTGGTTTTTTCATAACTGACCTATTTCGTTGGGCTGCAGTTTGGTTACAATGTACCCGATTTCAATGTAGTTTGTAGCAAAACATTCATTACGAATTCACATTTGATGGCCAGTCCCGATTTCTGAGGCACCACACCAAACAGAAAAAAAAACAAGTAAGAAGTAATCAAAAAAACGCCTAAAGTTACACAAGGAGGTATGGGCTGTGCATAAAAACCATTGTAAAAACTCCTTGTTACGCGTCTCAAGACGCGTAACAAGGATGCTGCTAGGCCGCTTCGCCACCTGTCTCGTAGTCTATGCTTGGTGAAATGAAATCCGCCCTACACAGAATATTCTACTTCACGAAACCAACTCAACGCTGCAACTACGACATCCAGCCAAACTTTGCCGGCGCGAAGCCTCACTTAAGTCTAGGGATGAGTGGACCTCAACTGGGGCTCGTTTGTTTTTATTAAAGTTGTTATCTCCCTGTTTCTTTCTCTCTCTCTCTTTCTCTCTAGGGCTTTGTCCCGATTCTGTACAACATCGTAGACACTTTACGCTGACAGCTTAGAAGACAATATCGAGCCGTCCGAGAAATGGAACGCGTCTGGATGGTGTCTACGCGACGAGACACCACCTCGCGTCGAAAGAGAAGGCTAAGATAAACAAACGTAAATGTACTTTTCTGTAGCCTTTCTCGTGTTGCGATGTAAAAAAATTTGAACGTCACTCCCATTTAGCTTAGAAGTGTGGCAGCTTGGGCTAGTTGGCATGGCATTACGATAGTTATGGCGCGAGAACAAAACGACGACACCGAGACTCGTGTCCTTCGTGTCCTTCTTGTCTCTGTGTCGTCATTTTGTTCGCGCACTATAGCTATCGTTATTCCATTTAGCGTCTGTAGAAGCCCGTGCTTGTGGGCAGACGACCGTTCCGGTGAGATCCATCCTATCCAAGAAATTTGCTCAGCCGCCATCTTGTCTGGATGCTAAGAAACCTGCATCGAACTTGTCTACGATGTCATTTTCCCGAAGCTGTCTATTTTGCCGACTATACGTGAGAATTGGCATGCAACTTAGGATGACTGTCGTCCACTTAGCTCTCTATTTAACCGTCTAAGGTGAGTGTTATAACACACCCTAGGTCGGATTTCGTGGGGGGTTGCCTTTGCGAAAGCATACACAAAATTAGTTGGAGTGATCGGCAGTGTGGCCCCAGCTACTACTCAGAAGTCACTGGTGGTAGGTGGCGAAGCAATTGCGATCCTTGTAGGAGCAAAGATGAACTTTGCACTTCACGCAGTAGACAAATGAGAAACTGGGCTTCTGCCAGGGGCAGGACTTGCAACGAAGCCGACTGCTGCTCTAAATTGGCATGTGACGAACACCGTCTAGGCGCACATCATTCTCGGGCGGCTTTACAGCAGTTTTGCGGATTTTGTGGCTTGCTGTTGTGAAAGTGAATGCCTCCCAACGGGTCGTTTACCCGCTGCTATCAGTGCTTCTGCTGCACTTGCTTGGAAGTGGCGTAGGTTGGTGCGCTTCACCTTCCATTGGAGACAGTGTTTTCTGTACAAAGGCCAGGAATTTACCGTTGCAACCGCGATGCTGTGGTAAAATAGATACACATACCACCAGCGAGATTTCAGCAAAAATCTGTACAGTTCAGTCAAGTAGTTGATAAGGTCTACACCTCCTATGAAGGATTTGTATGTTGCTACGGTGGCTGGTTGTCATATTTGAATATTTTTTTCTCTTTCGTTCCATCTGCGCACTGTACAAACAGGTTCAGTTGAAGCATAATTAGAAACCAGAGTCACTGACCTGTTATCATACCACCTGACCACAACAACATTTTTCACAGTGTCTGGTACATAATCAAATGCACTACGCCCTACTTTCTTCGGGTCATTCTCTGTCTTCAGGCGACAGTCTCGGAGTCTGTCGTTCCTTATTGTCCCAATAAATCCTAGGCAATTTTTTTTTTCGAAAGTTCTTCTGCAAGTTCCAAAGAACTGAAGTAATTGTCTGCTGCCACTTTGTAGCCTTTGTGTGGGGGTAAAAACTCGCACATCCTGATACCAACGTCACCACACAATCCAAATTGTACCGCTTATTCCGTCGATCCTGGTACACATCAAACTAGTAGTGGAAGCCAGAAGTGCCTGCACGGCCCCACTACTTAATGTCCCATGGGTGAGGTTTTGCCGGCATATATTGTTTGATTGGACAACGTCCTGTGAATGAAATCATGATCTCGTCCACACTATTGAATTCTTCAAGCTCAACTGAACGGAGATTCTCCTGAAGAGAAGTCAGCCACTTTCTTATGTTCCAGATTTTATCTTCCTTAGCCTCTTCTGAGACGGTGATGTTGTCCTCAAAATGAATAAACCTCATCAGCTTCTCAAACCGATACCGAGGCATCACATCGGTCACAACGGGAAACCTCGTTATATTCTCCATATAACACCTCACACTCGGCATCTGCACAAGACCCATCATCAAGTGCATACCAATGGATTGTTCGATTTCGTGCTCCTAGAAAATAATAAAACTTCCGGTTTGTTGAGTGCTGTACAGGTTCATATGTTCAACGAGAGATGATATTGATGAACTAATAAATCTACGAAAATAGGCCAGAGGCGTCTCTACCTCACATGGCTTTGTACTTGGTTCTGAGAATACCGGCAGCGAACACTCCTAAAGGCGTTTCCTCCAATGTCCTCGGTCAACAGACCCAGTGCCGCTGTTCATGTCGGTAACTTCTTCCTCGTCATTTGAGCTGTCATCACTGTTTTCCTGAACAGTGGGGTCAGCCATGGCTCCTTTGCCGATATCAGGCAGATATTCAGCATCACTATCGCTAAGCTCACCAAAATCACTATCGTCTCCATTGGGCATATCCCCAAGCAGGTTCTGGATCTTTTCGACTGCAAAATATGCCGTCATTTTAGAGCATTTAGCAGCGACACCATTGTTATGAAAAAACCCGATGCAAAACTAAGGTAGAAAAAGAAAACTGTGCTCGAGAACGACGCGAGCTCTAAAGCGAGGCATAGCTTCCCCATGCCCGGACGCACAAAGCAATGCCCACTGTAGCATATATGATACACTGAAAAAAAATATAAGTTGGCCACACTAAAACAAATGTTAGGTGGCCACAAAGCACGCTAAGCACTTCTAATATGGTCACAATGGCTTTCTGTTAATGATAGTTACGTAAAGATGTCATTCCCACCTTTGTTTTTTGATGAACGGCCCCAAAACGTCCGCACTCCGATTACCATGCCACTGGTGCTGGGCGCCTCCATTTTCAAAAACACTTCACTGCTCCCTGCCGCACACTTTCTGTACTTCCCAAGCGGAAAAATGTACAGCAACGCCTCCGCTGAGAAATGCAGTGAAGGTAACTTCACCGGCTTGGAAAGGCAGTGAAAATAGCGCACATTCTTTACAAACACACACGTCCTGTATGCAGGCTTCGCATTACAAAATGTATCGCAGTAATATTGCGTGTTACAAGCGTACATATCCATCGGGCGTTACAACATCAGATTATCATGAAGACTTCGTTGTTTAATGCCGGCGACCCATTAAAAAAGGCACACATGTTACTGCGTGCGCGTATTCCCTTAACACAATGTAATGAGTGCATAGCAAGTTCGAAAACATTTCACGTACGTAATTGCTCTTGGTTTAAATTATGATACTCATTACAGAAAATGCAGCTATATTCTAAAGCTTAATTCCTTGACACAAACTACTTTCAACTTAAAAGTGCGACAGTTTGGGCTAGTTGGTATGACATGACGATAGTTATAGAGCGAGAACAGAAGGACTCTTTGTCGTCGTTCTGTTCTTGCGCTATAACTATAGTCATTTCAGCTTACATTGCAATAATCAGCCATTTAAACTTCTGGAGTGTAATCGTACAATAAAATGTATGCTTTAAGGGGTTGAAGTACGCACTTGCAACGGAATATTGCTATTGCGTTCAACTCTCAAAAGAGAAGCTTAAGGATCACCCATTTTTTTCTTCCTTCCTTCGTTCCTTTTACGCTTGATACGAAACATGATTAGTAGACATTTTTTGATGTTTATAAATGTATTATTACTTGCGTGACACCATGTGTTCACATGGCCAACCTCTATATCTGGTATAACCAAACTTGCTGCTCCATGCATCCAGCAGTATTCAGTGCATCTAGTGTGAAACCTCGCGGAATCTCATGGTTTTGTTGTTTTTTATCAATTCTCTTGTGTCTGTGTTCCGCTACATAAAACGCGCACGTCTTTACATTTGCATCTTTTTTGAACCTTCCGCCACAAACCGCCTTAACATAGTATTATTTGTAAGAAAGCTATAGCCGAACGAAAAAAAAATGGGTTAGTTTTAAAGCCTCACCCGGTAGTTTTGTAGCACAGTGGAGCACCACCTCGCAAGCGACTACATTTACAACTTACATTATGTTACGGGATGCTGCACCAAGATCCGCTGTGGCCTTCTTCATCATCATCATCATCAGCAGCAGCAGCAGTAGCAGCAGCCTGACTACGCCCACTGCAGGACAAAGGCCTCTCCCATGTTCCGCCAATTAACTCGGTCCTGTGCTTGTTTCTGCCAATTTATACCCGCAAACTTCTTAATCTCATCTACCCACCTAACCTTCTGTCTCCCTCTAACCCGCTTGCCTTCTCTGGAAATCCTGGTAGTTCCCCTAATGACCAGCGGTTATCCTGTCTACGCGCTATACATGCCCGGCCCATGTCCATTTCCTCTTCTTCATTTCAAATATGATATCCTTAACCCCCGTTTGTACCCTAATCAACTCTGCTCTCTTCTTGTCTCTTAAGGTTACACCTACCATTTTTCTTTCCATTGCTCGCTGCATCGTCCTCAATTTAAGCTGAACCCTCTTTGCGAGTCTCCAGGTTTCTGCTCCGTAGCTAAGTACCGGCAAGATACAGCGGTTATATACCTTCCTCTTGAGGGATAGTGGCAATCTACCTGTCATAATTTGAGAGTGCTTGCCAAATGTGCTCCACCCCATTCTTATTCTTCCAGTTACTTAGTCTCGTGGTTCGGCTCCGCGGTTATTACCTGCCCTAAGTAGACATACTCTTTTACAACTTCAAGTGCACTATTACCTATCTCGAAGCGCTGCTCATTTCCGAGGTTGTTGTACATTACTTTCGTTTTCTGCAGCATAATTTTAAGACCCACCTTTCTGCTCTCATTGTCTAACTCCGTAATCATGGGTTGCAATTCGTCCCCTGAGTTACTTAGCAATGCAATGTCATCGGCGAAGCGCAGGTTACTAAGGTACTTTCCATGAATTCTTATTCCAAACTGTTTTCATTGTAGGCCTCTGAAAATCTCCTGTAAGCACGCGGTAAATAGCACAGGGAGATTGTCTCCTTCTGTCTTACGCCTTTCTTGATTGGTGTTTCGTTGCTTTCCTTATGAAGGACTATGGTAGCAGTTGATCCCCTGTAGACTTCTTCCAGGATGTTTTTATATGCTTCATCGACGCCCTGATTCCGCAGTCTTCGCATGACTGCTGATATTTCTACTGAATCAAACGCCTTCTCGTAATCAATGAAGGCTATGTATAGCGGTTGACTATATTCTGAGCATTTCTCTATCGCCTGAATATTGGTACGAATGTGGTCAATTGTTGAGTAGCCTGTTCTAAACCCTTCTTGTTCCTTTGGTGGCTTGAACTCAAGTGTTTCCTTAACTCTGTTAGCAATTACCTTTGTAAATAGCTTGAATACTACGGAGAGCAAGCTGATCGGCCTGTAATTCTTCACGTCCTTGTCATCTCCTTTATTCTGGAGTGGCCTTCAGTCTCTACTAAAGTGGTACAGAAAGATTGAAAAGATGGCATATTCCAGTTTTCATTCACGGTGACTACGCAAAACAACGCAAAAGCTCATCTGTGTCACTGAATCTTAAGTGAACTGCTAACTTTCCCAGATGCGACCATGTTAAAAAATATCATGCTATTATGTCTACATTGCAGAAAAAGAGATTGAAAAGTTATTTTTTGAGCAAAGAACGTTTTGATACAGTGAGAGTGCCTCGACTCGAGTGCACGAATGTGAAGTGGGGCGGCACGGAGGCATTAATACAAGATTGTTGAAGAAAGTGATTACTTTGAAAGCATTTTTGGTGTATTTTGAAAGCACCTGTATTTTATGACGGCTGTAGTTCATTGAGTCTCGTTTCAAGTGATAATATCTTGGGTTTCAACAAGCCAGATTAAACGTTCTGTTTTTCACATTCATTTCAAAATAAACTGATTCTTTCATGCTAAATACGGTTAGAATGTAGGCCTGATCTGTATATAATAATGATTGTTCATTACTCTGGAAAATTCGAACGCATTTGGTACTTTAACGTGCACTTAAACACGGGCGTTCTTTGCATTTTGCTTCACCAAACTTGGGCCGCCGTGGCTCGGTATCGAACCCACGCCCTTTTGCTTACGAGTGCAACACTCTATGTGCTGAACTACCACAGCAGGTAACTGTTCATCTGGGCTTATTCTAAGCGTTTATGGTACAGCGGGTACAAATAAAGAAGAAATGACGCGATGAAATAGCAAGAATATTAGGTGAAATAGTCTTGACTGACATTCTGATGATGATGATGATGATGATGATGATGATGATGATGATGATGATGATGTGTGGTTTTTTATAGAGCAAGGGCCAAGTAACCACTAAGCAGCGCCATTTCAGTAGACTAGAGATGTGACTAAATATAGTGCGGAGCTGTATAGGGGCCTTAAAATTTCTCGTGATAACGCGGGTAAAAACTTAAAAGTATTAAAATCATGGCAGTGGCGTGAAATATGTGCAGTGAAAGTGGATGGCGAAAGGTCATGATTATAATACCATGGCGGGCATGTAGTCACCGAAGCCGCGACCTTGGTACAAAGGTCGGGCTACAGATCACTTCGGAATATGGAGCGAAAGCTATGTACATCGTTTAAAACATCACAGAATATCCACGGAACGAATTATCATGAGTGGGGCGAAGTGTCCAACAGTCTGTCCGTGTTTCCGCCCGTCTGTACGTGCACCCACCCATTCGTGCCTCCGTCTGTCCATCCGTCCGTGCGTTCATGCGTCATTCCATCCATACGCGCGCTCGTCCATGCGTCTGTTCATTCGTCCATCCACGTGGCTGTCTGTGTGTCCGTCTGCTTGTCTGTCTGTGTGCCCGTCTATGCGTCCGTTCGTCCATCTAGTGAACACTTCAAGTACCAACATCTCGCTCCTCCAAGCAGCGTAACCGAGTTATCGGCCGGTCAACTCTATTGGGAGTAATAATTGATCATCATCATCGCTTCTTTTTGTTATATATTCATCATACACAAGTACCGCCATCCAGCGGACAATCCAAGAACTAAACGAGAGTATGTACCACATTTCTGCTGTCAGCGCTTTGTCAACACCGAGAGCGTCATAACGCCGGCGTGCCACGTTTTTCGTAACATGTGCACATGCGGATATGTGCCCGAGGGCGGGTATGTGCCACTGGTATGCTGGTATGTGCCACAGGTTACGCACTACGACAACGGGAGACGCACAGGCCACGCCATAAGGAGCTTCACTCCTAAAACGTAAACAGCGACTGAAGTTTAAAAAGCAGATCCCTACTGATGAGCATTCCAGGGTGTAGCGGGAGCTGCTGTCGGTAGGGTAGTCAAAAGTGCTTTGTCTTAGAGCATCTAACTCATTGCACTGGACGAGGTTGTGGAGAACCATAAGTTTTTCTTCACATCTCTCACACAACGGTGGATCGCCGGCAGACAAAAAGGATGATTGTGTAGACTGTGTCTGTCCTGTTGTTAGCCTTGTAAGTGTTACTTCTGTGTGTCGAGGGGAGGTTACACGATTTGAAAACGGCCAGTACATT